CGATAAAATAAGCAGTAATTTATTAGAAGGAATAGTTGTCGGAAGAAAAAAAGTTGCTAATGTTTCTTGTATAAAACGCGAAATTGTTAAAGCATTTGTTTTCTCAAGTTGCTGGCATGAAATAAGATGAGATTTTGGTAAGGTATCTTCTTTAAGAACACCAATCAATAAATGAGCAATATACTTTCCTGAGGAATTAGTGGTTTCGTCTACAGATATGTAAAAATAATTATCTGCAATTTCTTCCTTAATATTAATTAACACCGACGAGTATAGCCCGTTCACAATATTTCTTTTTAGAGACCGATCACTTGGAACATTAAGTTTGCAATATTCTTTTTAGAAACGAACTAAAATTTACATTTGCTAATTTTGAAAGCGGTATGTTTGCAGACACTAATGCGCGACACAAGTCTTCATTAAAAGTTTCTTGCTCATCTAATTTTTTTGAAGTAGATTGGAAACATTTAGCCATTGAAGTTTGATGTTTTCCTCCTATTTTTCCTTTTTTTGGAATGTGTGAAGCAGTTTTCACATGTTGGTTTATCTGAAATTTCTTCTCACATTCTATCTATAAATAAAAATAAAAACCTTTATTTTAACCCAACCTTTAAAATATAAAAATATACAAGGTGTTTTTGGTTAATCAAATAACTGGTTTGGAAAAAAAAAAACACTCGCTAAGTGTTTTAAATGCAGTATTAATCCACAAATTAGTTTTTGTTACTAACCATTAGTACATCATATAACTTATTTTAAAATTCAACAAAAGTTTTTTTTTGTTAATTCAATTACAATGAAAATAATTGTGTTTTAGAATAGCTGACTTCATAAAAAAAGTAAAGGTGAAAATTTTTTCTAAATACACACCATTGTATTGTACCATGGACAATTTTTTCTCACTAAAGGAAGCTATTTTTCATTTAAAAACAACCTACGAGTACTAAATTTCAAGTAAATACGTTTATCGGTTTTAAAGTTATTGTTGTTATTAACTAAAAGAATTTAATTTTTTTTTAATTTTAACACCCTGTATCTCGAAAAGTAAATAAGTTTGACCCCTCATTAACTATATCGTTTTGTTTAATTTTTCGAGAAGTATCTACAGTCAAACGTTGTAAGTGTCATTTAGGAACACCCTGTATGTATTAAATATTAGATATTTAATAGAAAATATTAGATACTTACAATTTTGCCACAGACTGAACAGTAGATTTTTCCCATATCCATAGACAGCTCTTTATAAGGTTTAATCCAAGTTGAAGCACTGGTTGTTTTAGGCATTATAAAATCACAATCTTCCTTTTTGTTACGCACAACGAGTGTTCACGCTTTGAATATCAAAACAAAAATGATTTACAAATCTGAGCATCAAATTAGAAATGTTTAGGTACCTAATTCAATAAACTGGGAGATTTTGGAAAATCCCTAAATTAGGAACAAAACTATTAGCCGTTTACCTGCTGTTAAGATACAATAAATTGTAGATAGATTTGGGAATTAGATCAATAAATGCAAATGAGCGAACCCTTAGCGATTATCCAATAACTGAATGCCTCAGTGACCGAGACTTTCTGAGAATGTTGAGGGCTACTTAAATTGATCTTCTTTGAAATTGTAAATGTTTTACCTGTAGAGATTACGTACTTAGATCATTTCTTGATTAAAATGACTACAAAATTTTATACAAGAATTGAAATAAATTGGTATGTTTAAAAATTTTCAAATACAGTATAAAAATCTGAACTTTTATGCACTTTATGCAAACTTTTATACAAATATGCCCAAAATATGAAATATTTGCATAAAATATGCACAATATGCAAAATATGCAATATGCATATTTGCCGAAGTCTAAACATAACCAATTGCTGGAAACAAATAAAAATGACAAAAATCATTATAGGTTGAGAAAATCTTCTTAAGACTACGAACTTTAAAAAAAAACTGGATAGACTTAGTGAACGATAGATAAATAACAAAATTTGAATTAAAAACTAAAAGAATTAATGGATAAAAGCAGACTCTGTCTATAGAAAGAAGTTACAATTAAAACATTTTCCAAGATTCTGGTAGTAGAATTTTAAGTGATATTAAGGAGCCCTGTACTTAATGGAATAAAATTAGATAACAGCATTATTTAAATACGATTAAAGAATATACCAAGAAATAACATCTAACAGACACATGAACCCACCAAGTGACTTGTTTCAAATAATTATAGTGTTACAAAAGTTTCGAGAAAGTTAGGCGTATTGAACATAAAATTAGAAGGTCTCATTAAGATGCAAAAGGTAAGGATGTAAATAGAAATGCAGTTATTGTATTTAGATCCAGGATACCACTTCACCTAAAAAAGCATTATATCAATGTACGTATACTACCAATCATGACATCGGCTGCGAAACTTGGACACTAAAGAAAGAGATAAGAGCGAAACTTAAAGTCACTTAAAGATGAAACATGCATGCTAGACATAACAAAGAGAGATCGAAAAATAATAGGATTAGACATAAAATCAAGGTGACTGATATAACTGATGTAATTAAACCTTTAAAATTGCAGTGCTCTGGATATTTAGCGATGACAACTAACAATAGATGGTCCACTAGAATTACATAGTGGTGCCTAAGAGGCGTGAAGAGACCAAGAAGGCGTCCTTATTTAAGATGGAACTATGACATAAGGAAACAAGCCTATAAAACATCGCACAGAAAACCGGCATAGGCATTAAAATACGCTGAGAATGATGAAGATGAGAAATATAGGAATATAGCTTGCATTTAAACATATCTGGGGCCGGCTGTTAAAATGTGACGAAGAACACAATTAAAAAAAATTGAAAATCATATAAAAATTATATCTTAAATACCTAGCTATCTTCTTCTTTTAAATGTGCCTATCTTCTAGAGATGTTGGCGACCACATTGACCCATTTTATTCTATTTACAGCAGCTCGAAATAGATCACTTGACGTTAGACCAGTCCACTTTCTAAGATTGACCAGCCAGGATATACGTCCAGGGCCTCCCTTACCCTCAATCTTGCTTTGTAAAATCAACTGTAGAAGTCGGTATTTATCATTACGCACGATGTGGCCGAAGTCAACCAATTTTCTGTTTATCATGGTGTTACTAATTTCTTTGTCTTTTTTTAGCCTCTGGAGAATAGTTATGTTACTTGTATGGTGTATATATGAGACCCTCAACATACGTTGATAGCACTACATCTCAAATGCATATAATCGTTTTATGGAATCTTCCTTCTAGCTTCTGGCTTTTTCAATGCAAGTTTTTATTTCGTAGTTGTGATCTCACGCATCCTTAATATTGCAGCCCAAATAGCATATTTTTCCACCCTTTCTAACGGTATATCGCCTATTGTAATTTGGGCTTTTATGTTGGTGTTCTTATTAATGATCATTATTTTTGTCTTCTTACAATTTACTATTATGTCGTATTTGGTACATGCTTCTTTAATGTTATCAATCATCCTTTGTAGCCCATGCTCGCTATCTACCAGCAACATTGTATCGTCTGCATGTCTAATATTATTTATATGTTGGCCATTTACAGCAATTCCATCTTCTGATTCGTCCAAGGCCTCTCTAAATATGTTTTCAGAGTATATGTTAAATAATGCTGGTGATAATATGCAACCCTGTCTAACTCCTTTTTTGACTGTGAAGATCTCACATTTCACAGTATATTTTCTAACCAAACTGTTGCTTTCTGTTAAAGATATTTCTTGAAGAAGTTTAAGACCAGTCTTATATCCTTACCTTCGAATCCTAATGTTTTTAGTATATCGATTAGTTTCCCATGTGCGACTTTATCAAATGCCTTCTCGGAATCAATGAAACATGCATACACATCGCAGTTGATATCACTGGCTCTCTGTATTAGAACTTGCAAACTAAAGAGTGCTTCCCTTGTTTCGAGTCCTGCTCTGAATCCAAATTCAACTTCACTCAGGTGTTCTTCTAATTTGGTGTATATGCGCGAGTGAATGGTAGTAAAAAGTACTTTAAGTACATGGCTCATCAAACTGACTAATCTATGTTCGTGACAGTTTTTAGCGTTTGGTTTTATAGGAAGTGGAATGAATCTTTACAGTAGCCAGTCTTTTGGTAAGTAGATATTGTTGAATAGTTTCGTAAGAACTGTGATTTGGTGTGCCTTTAGTAGCTTTAAAATTTCATCGTGCACCTGGTCCTGGCGATTTCCTATCTTTAATCCGCTTAATGGCCATGGTTACTTCTTAGTTTGTTAGGGCCGTAGTGATTGTTTATTTCAGTCGGACTTCGTGCTGCATCTTCGAATAAATCTTGCATATATTCTATCCATCTCGTAATTTAGCTTCAATTGTAGTCAAAATCTGGCCTTCAATGTCTACAACTATGCCTGTAATGCATTGTTTTCTTGTATTCTTTACCTCTTTAACTTTTTGTGAATATGGAAATCGTCATGTTTGCGTTGTAGTGTTTCAAGTTCCGTACATTTCTCCGTCAGCCATGCTTCTTTTGCTCCTTTTATCTCCTTTAGTATAGTCTTATGCAACGTTTTGTATTCGTTGCCATTTCTACCTTTTAATTTTCTTCGCTCATCCATCATCTGCAATATTTTATCTGTCATCAATTCTTTGGCGTCATTTCCTATGAATTATTTTGAGTAGTATGTTGATATTTGCAACCAATAGACTATGATCTGAGAACACATCTGCGCCTGCATATGTTTTTTGCGCCTAACTATACAAATTTTAAACTTTAATCAAGTAGTTCTGCTCTATAAATGATTTATGAATGGGTTTTAAATTACTTTTTCTAAATTAAAATTTAAATGCTTTTGGTTATATTTTGCCATGTAGAACAATACATTGTAACATTAATGGTAAAATCTAGAGAAACGGTCCTGCACAGATTAATATTGTTTTGTTTTTAGAATTTATATTATCAATTTTGTCAACTTTGCTACATATATAAAATAGGCTGAATACCTTAACTAAATTAGATCATTTGTAAATTTGATATATAAAAAAATAACTACACTCGACACTCAAGATGAAAACTATATTTTTCGCAATCTTTATGGTCATCGTCGTGGCTGCCGTAGCTGGTAAGAATACTCACTATAACTATTAATTTTTTTAGATTTAGATTTTTGGCTGTTTTTAATTTTGATATCATGATATGCTGATTTGCTAATTAGTTTGTAAAGCATTTTTTACTAATTTTGTAAATTTAATGTATTTTTCAGTAATAATTTATATACCTTACGCTATGCTTTATTGAAAAGTTCATTTAAATATTTCGTGTTTTTTTAATGCTAACGTAACTAGTTTTTTTTAATACTACTACTAAGGATTTCCACAGTTTTCACTGTCTTCCTTCACTCAACCTTTTCTCCAATTTTCCCTGTCATTCCAGTCTCCATCTCGCAGGGTTCTTTTCTCCATAGCCTCGTCGATTTCGTCTCTGAATGACCTTCGAGATCTTCCTCTCTTTCTTTTTCCAATCGGGCTCCATTCTGTGATTTTGTTCATCCAGCGTCCTCTGTCCGCTCTTCTGACGTGGCCGTACCAGGATAGTCTCTTCTCCTCTATATAGTCGATTATGTCTGATTGCACTCCCATTCTCCGCTTAATCTCTGCGTTTTCAATTCTGTCTCTTTTTGTAAGTCTACAGCTTCTCCTTAGGAACTCCATTTCTACTGCTCTTATTCTACCTCTATTTCTCTTGTTTATTGTCCAGTTTTCGGACCCATATGTTAGGATACTTCTTGTCAGGGTATTATATATTCTCTTAGTTGTCTTATACAGTTTCTTGTTTGTCTTAGTTTGTTGTTTATATCTTCTTCTGTTGTTCCCTGGTTCGATATTATGGTTCCTAAATACCTGAATTTATCTGTTCTATTTACTTGTCTTCCCTCGTCTATCTCTAGGTTTCTCATATCCTTGTTTTCTGTTGTTAGGTATTCGGTTTTCTCTAAGTTTATTTCCATTCCGTTGTTTTTATATTCTTCTTCTAGTTTTCTGAGCATAAAGCTGAGATCATCTTCATCTTGTGCGATGACTACTTGATCGTCGGCAAAACTTAAGGTGTATAGGTATTCCTCTCTTACTGGTATGCCCATTTCTTCACACTTTCTCCTCCATGTTTTGAGTGTCTTTTTCAAGAATATTTTAAACAGAGTAGGGGACGTAGCACAGCTTTGTAGAAGTCCTTTTGTCATCTTAAATGGATTGTAGGCTTTATTTCCACATGTAATGGCTACTTTATTTTCTTTGTACAGTGCTTTTACTGCTTTTATTAGTGTTTGTCGGATTCCGAGATCATTCATTGCTTCTCATAATTTGACTCTAGGTGTTGAGACGTATGCTTTCTTTAGATCAACAAACACCAGATGGACCGGTCTACTTTTTGCCATTTTCTTCTCTATCAGTTGTTCTAATGTGTACGTATGATCTAGGCATGATTTTCCTACTGTAAACCCTGCTTGGCCTTCTCCAATTTTTCCTATTATTTCAGTTTCTAGTTTTTCCTTGATAATGTTCCCGTAAAGTCTACCTACCGACGATATTATACTAATTCCTCTGTAGTTTTCATATTTTTCCCTGTTTCCTTTCTTATGTATGGATGTGATGTATGCTTGTGTCCATTCCGCAGGTATTTCCTCTCCATTTAGTCCTCTTTCGAACATTCTGTGTAGCATGCGGAATAACTTTTCCGTTTCGTTTTTAATTAGTTCGTTTGGTATCCCTCCGGGTCCTTTGGCTTTTTTGTTCTTCAATGTCTTGATTGCTCTCTTGACTTCTGTCAGACTTATTTCTATCTGGTCGTATGTCCCATTTCCTGCATGTTCTGTATTCTGTATAGTTTTTTTAATGCAAGTCGTTAACGATCTCTGTATACCAACCTCTTCTTTAATCGCCTAATTTTTAATTCTCTTATAGCGTTTATTTTAGATACTTTTATGTTCTTCTTTTTCTTTCTATCTCAAATCCATAAAAAGTTTAAACTTTATTAAACTATTTATTCTTTTTGTCTTTGTTTATGTATCGACTTACTCCACCATACTTTATTAATCGATTGAATTAATTTCTTTGCTTTGTTAATAATTTTGATCAAATGAAAAGGCAGATATCGAGCACAGTGTATTAATTAAATCTTGCCAAGGTACTTTCCGTTCCTAGAGCATCTTCAGGGGCATCTGAAATAAGCCAAGAAACGTTTTTTTTAATAAAAAAAATCAGTTAACTTAGATAAAAAACTCAAAGTTGAATATATTGTATTGGAAATGTTGCTAATATGAGTAAAGGGAAATAAACTTTAAACTTTTTACTTCTACAATTAAAAACATCAAAATTTGTCTAATTTTTTAATAGATTGCTTAGTCTAATAGATTGCTAATTATTATAGACAGGTTTAAGTGTGAGATCCGGATTATGCAATCTACTTAAAATATTCTGTATAATTTCATATTTCATCAGTTGATTTCCTGTTGTAGTGTCAGTTGGACCTTAGGTCAATGCTTTCACAGTATTTTAAAATATTTAGATTACATCACCATTTCCGTTAAGACCAGGGGCCATTCTCTCTTCTGATGTCAACCATAATGTAGCTTTCCCTTTTTAAAAATTTTAAAGTGTCCGTCCTTTTGTAGTGTAGTGTAATGTACAATTTTATGTTTATGACATTCTTCACAAATTTTGGACATAAAAACTTTTATCAACTTTCAACTTCGTGTTTTTTATGACTTAATAAAGTAATTGATTTTTTTCATTTAAAAAAACTATTCTTGGCTTATGTCAGATGCCCCTAAAGATGCTCTAGGAAGCGAAAGTACTTGGGCAAGATTGGAATAATAAACTGTGCTTGATATTTGCCTTTTCATTTGATCAAAGTATGATTTATTCGAGCATTCAACCTTATATTAATTTGTTAATAATTGATTGAGGTGATTTTTTTTCGTCGGTTCATCTGCATTAAAATAAGTTTCCAGTTAGTTATATTCTTCACATTTTTTAGTAATTTCGTTGTTGTCTAAGGTTCAATAGAATGGTAAATATTAAAAACTTCAGACTCTAATTCATTACTCTATACCTAGTTTTTATCTAGCGGAAAATTATTGCTGTTTATGTATTGGGGGTGTTAGTTTAATGTGGGTAAAAACATTTTGCCTTGTAGTGTAATAAACCTTGATTAATATTGTATTAATAGGTATTTTAAAATAAACGGTATTTTAGTTAAAGCATATTAAAATATAAATTCAGTATGTAGGTATATAAAATTGCTAAAGTTTTTCTTTTGGTAATGTTATTACTTTCTATTAAATCTTAGAAACGGTTTTAGATAATATAGCCAAAAATAACTAATTAATATGAAGATTTAAAATAAAACATTTATTAACTCTTAAAACATCTTTCAATATTCATTTAATAGCTGTACGTAAAATGTGTCCCAATGGAATAAGAAAATAGGCAGGGACAAAACTCAAGTACCTAATAATTTTAAGATGTTTATCTTGCTTTTAGCGAACGCAAACGAGAATCTAATAAAAATAAATAAGAAATAAAAATTTACAGAAAAAATAATAGTAAAAGAAACAAGCAAAATATAATAATAAAAAAGAATATGTTATATAATATTAAGTACTGGGTGTTTTATAAGTCTATTTCTAAACCGCATGTTTCGTACCCTTTTTTGAATTTATGGGGCATTCTTTTTTGTTTATACAAACCACATGATCGTCTGCTTTTCAGGCCAGCTTTATCCTTCTACATCATCATGTTGTATTTATGATGGGTTTAAATAAAAATTAGTCAACTTAAATAATGAGGTACTATTTAGTTTTGCGTTGAGAGCGTTGGAGGAAAGTCCCACAGTTTATCGATACTCCAAACTATTCGTGAGTATTATACAAATATGCAACCATGACAGTAAGACTACACACAAATATAAACTGTGTAAAAATCAAAAGAGAAATCACACAAGAAGACACGTTATTTTTCAAACTCTTTACGGCAGTTCTGGAACATGCTTTCGAAAAATTGAGGGAGAAAGCCAAAAGAATCAACGTCGATGGCAAAATGCTCTCACATCTATGATTTACGAACGACATTGTTCTGATGACAGATGAACTAAAAGATATTGGAACTATGCTTAGCTGGTTTAAACGTAAATTTTGTAAAGACAAATACATGACAAATCTGGTACCAAGCTAAAATCCAAAAGTCGACTGCAACAAAATAGGATTAGTTCATAAATGTAAATACTTAAGACATAAAAACCAAATGGCTAGAGACAACTATACTGCTAAACGGCAAAAAAGAATCGCTTTAGTATGGGCCGCATATAGAGCTTTATCAGACATCTTCAAAAGCAATGTGCAAATTATTTTAAAAAGAAGACGTTCGACCAATCTGTGCTTTCAGTTATGACTTACAGCGCCGAAACACTTTATTTAACCCAGGCTACAGCAACTCAGAGTAGCCCAAAGATGAACGGAACGCTCCTTACTTGTAGTAACTCTTAGAGACAGATTTACAAAAAGAAATAAGAAGAAGGACAGGCGTCATAGATGTCATAGAGTGCATGGCATGGCTAAAGGGTGGCTGTATGACCAGAATAAATGACGGGTGGTCTCCAAATACAGTTTGGGGACCACGAGCTGACAGAAGAAGCAGAGATAGACCACCTACACGATAGACAGAAGACGTCAAAAGAGTCGCTGAAAATTTACTGCAAGAAGCTCAAGACCGACAGAACTTTAAAAAATTAGGTGAGGCCTATGTCCAACTTTGGACGCAGAAGACTGTATGATCATGATGGTTCCGTTTAGATATATGTAATATATTATAGTTCAAAATTTTCATCATCACTACTGCTATGATAATAATAGCTGCTAATAAATTATAAAATATACTGCATTAGTAGCAAACGATGACTTTAAACAATATATTGACCAATCCAGTCTATAAAAAAAGAGTAATAAAATTCATTCATATTTATCTTGAACTTTTTAATAGAAAATTAAACGATAACGAATAAGTAATAAAATTTGTTTAATAATTTTAGATCCCATTGCTTTACCTCAATGTGGTGAAAACGAGATACGCGGATGTGAATCCTGCTGTCCTGAATTAGAAGTCACTTGCCAAAACAAGATACCTCAGCTATGTCTCAAACCTTGTCCAATGATTTGTAAATTTAAATGTGTTTGTACTCTAGGATACCTTAGAGACACCAACACAGGAAAATGTGTAAAAGATTGTTAATCAGTTATTCTTATAAACTATATAAATGAATAATATTGCATACTCCAATTGTAAAAATGTTTCGATCGAAAAATAAATAATTCTAATTAATTATGATGTTTTTTATTTATTATCAATATTAATTGTGCAAATATACTATTATATTATAACAAACATTTACAAATTGATTATTTAAACATATGGCGTTGAAATTAGAATAGATGTAATATATAAAATATAACATTAGCTAAGACTTTTAAAATTTTCTTTACAAAATACTCAATAGCCATTAAAAGTAAAGTGTTTATGGCTAAGAAAAGAACATTTAATAAGACCTTGTACCAAACTCAGTGCAATAGAAGTGCACTGAGTTTGGTATGTCTGTATGCCTTTACTTCTACATACCTATAGAAATAATAAGGTAGAGATAGTATACAAAAACCTGAAAATAAAAAAAAAATGTTAAAGAACGAACATATTCGCTTGCTGAGAACATTAGTGTCGTAACTCAAAAATTGCCAATTTTGACTTTACCCATCAGATATTTTCCTAATATTTATCTTGATATTATGCATTATTGACATAAGTATAATTGTACTATAAACCACTAGATTAGGCTATATGTCAGTAATGTTTTGTGACATTTAGCTCTGCCTACTACCCGAAGAAATAAAAAATGGTATGCACAAACACTTGTTGTCAATACCTGCAGTAGAGATATTGACATATGACTACAGAAATCCTTAGCGAATTGGTTTCTAGTACTCGTACAGAGTAAATCCGAAAAACTAGAAACCAATTAGCTAAGGATTTCTGCTTAGTTGATAAGACGTGTCGTGGAATCCAAATCTTAGATTCCCCACGTCTCTTTTAAACACCTTTATCAACGTTTGCTTTGAAATTTTTAGAAAATTTTAGAAATTTTTGCTTTGAAATTTTTAGAAAGCACAGATTAAAGCAGAAATCTGAATTGTGTTTCGAAACTATTTTACGATGTTATTTTCAGATGTCGCTATTGCGTCCGTATTCTAGTGTTGCTTCTTAAAAGACAGAAAATATTGATCTTTCACGTTGAGAACACCTTTGAATAACCGTTCTGATGAGACCTATTAGGTCGAAATACGTATCAACAGAAACAAAGCCGCTTTTTGCGTGAAATGAAATATTTGCTGTCTTTTCACTTTTTTCGGATTTACTCTGTACGAGTACTAGAAACCAATTCGCTAAGGATTTCTGCTTTGTTGATAAGACGTGTCGTGGAATGCAAATTTTAGATTCCCCACGTCTCTTTTAACACCTTTATCAACGTCTGTTTTGCTTTGCAATTTTTAGAAGGCACAGATTAAAGCAGAAATCTGAATTGTGTTTCGAAACTATTTTACGGTTTTATTGTCAGATGTCGCTAATGCGTCCGTATTGAAGCCATTTTAGTGTTGCTTCTTAAAAGACAGAAAATATGGATCTTTCACGTTGAGAACACCTTTGAATAACTGTTCTGATGAGACCTATTAGGTCGAAATACGTATCAACAGATACAAAGGCGGTTTTTGCGTGAAATCAAATATTTGCTGTCTTTTCACTTATTTCGGATTTACTCTGTACAAGTACTAGAAACCAATTCGCTAAGGATTTCTGCTTTGTTGATGAGACGTGTAGTGGAATGCAAATTTTAGATTCCCCACGTCTCTTTTAACACCTTTATCAACGGCTGTTTTGCTTTGCAATTTTTAGAAAGCATAGATTAAAGCAGAAATCTGAATTGTGTTTCGAAACTATTTTACGGTTTTAGTAATTTTTTTTTATTTGAAATAATGAATTAGTGTCTGGGCTGCAATGGCCATTGACACAAACAATATTGTGTTGAATAATTACAATAAGCACATATTACTAATTGCTACAGTTAATCTATAAGCTTAGCACCTATGACTAAATAATACAACAGTTTTATCACTTATAATTTACATACAGATAATACAGATTTCAAAAATAAAAATTGTAGCTGGGACTGTAGCTGGGCTATGGAAATGTTTCAATGCTGTTATTCTGGAGTCACTGGTTTATTATATTTGCAGTGTGAACAGGACAATTATCTTGTTGGAGGATAAAATTATTTTCTAGATACAATTGTTCTACACTGGGAAACGTGATGTTTTCTAAACTATTCAAATAAGTCTGTCCAATAAACCAACCGTCAATACGCCATACCATTTCCTTTCCTCTAGATGAAATTTATCCACATATGCCAATGGCGCTAAAATGATAATCTGCTCGATATTTATCAATATATAGAGGATTAAATATTTTATTATCTGGTCTTTTCACCCCAATTTTACCCTTTTTAGAACGTTGAAAAATTTTCTCATCTGTTAATATTACCCTATCCCACGAATCTTGATTTTTTAGCTGATGGTATAAAGCAAATATAAGTCTTGATTGCTTCTATTGTGCTGCAGTTTGAAAGAGCTTGTTTTTTGCTGCAGTTCGGTAACTAAGACGCGATGCTTTAATTCTGCGCCAAGTTCTGTATCTTTCCTTTCGGAAACTGTGACCTAATTCTTGCAGATTTCGTATCTTCAGAAGGATTCTCTTCTAATCTCTTCAAAAGCGTATGATCTTCATGAGCGGTAAATAGTTTTGGTCTTCCAGAACCTTGCTTTCTTTCGAGAATTTCTTGTTCTCTCGATGTTTTATTAATATTAAAAACTGATATTTTGCTTACGTTAAAATGGTTGGGTACGGCAGATACAATTCTTGGTTTTAGTTCTTTGCTAGCATGTGGAGCCATTTTTTGGGGTTGAACAGAATAAGATATTTGATGAATTTTAGAATTTTGCAGTGGCAGTGGCAGTATATAAATAATATGTATTAATCCTTTAAAATACACTGCTTAATTTTCTATAAAATACGCTTTAAGAGTCGTATCAATTTTTTAGGAACCAGCTTGAAACCAGTACAGAAGCTTCGCTGTACAAATGTGTATTCATTTTAATTTTACTATTATATTTGCTTGCTGACAACATTAGCGACATAACTAAAAAAATGTAGTTTGTAGTAAAGGGCGTTTAAAGTTTTAGCGGAAATACAATATTTGATTGCTCGGTAGCTGACTAACTTATTGAACTATTTTCGATTTCATTGATCAAGGTAAAGCTGTTAGTTCACAAAATTCAGTTGTTAGCTGCTGAAATTGGTATGTTTTACTATTTCATTGACTTTAAACGTTGGTCGTGTTTACGGGCAGTACTTATTATTGCTGCGTATTGAGCTGGTAGGAAAATGGGATCAGATTTTAAAGCTCATCTAATGGATTTTACAATTACGGAATGACTACCTTCGTTTTGACCATGTCCCACTTCAAAATATTTGTGGGTGATACTTACTTTTTATTTTGAAATTAGTAACCGCATACAAAAAAGTGGTTACAACAAATTTATTTTTGCCTTGACCTCCCCACCGTTATCGGAAAAGAAGACTACTTTCAGTCAGCTCGAAAAGCCGTTTTTCTTAAATATTTAAGCAGGCAAGAACCTATTCCAATAGATACACGATTCCCCTTTCCTTCTTGTCAAATATAGTACTCTACAGGACCCAGTCCTTTATGTTGAAGGCTACAAATTGTGAAATTGTAGCAATTTTAACGAAACTGATAATAAAAAGCTAAAACACCTTGAGGAAGAGGTAGAGCTGCTTGTAAATCGAAACAAGCTAAGTGAAATACGTTACCAGTATTGCTTTTGTCTGCATTTTTTTCTTCTCTGCTTAAGTTATTTTTTTGTATATAAGATTCATAATTATTTTTAAGGGAATTCTATATCAGAATTCTCATAAGTTGTACATGTAAGGCACTGGTCCTTCTTTGGAGTATGAAATGACATGTTATAGACATAGACAACTTTCCATGATTCTTTCAGTTATCATTACACCACTGAAAATAATCACGGTACAGATCAGTCAGTGTCCTGCCTCCATCGAATTATTTTAAGGTTTTATTGTCAGATGTCGCTATTGCGTCCGTATTGAAGCCATTTTAGTGTTGCTTCTTTAAAGACAGAAAATATTGATCTTTCACGTTGAGAACACCTTTGAATAACTGTTCTGATGAGACCTATTAGGTCGAAATACGTATCAACAGATACAAAGGCGCTTTTTGCGTGAAATCAAATATTTGCTGTCTTTTCACTCAAAAAATGTACTATTCTATTCCATCATGTTTGTTTTTGATAAACTTTTTCTTTTGTTAGATTTTGATCTTGGTGCTATTTTTTACTACTGTCAAAATTTTAAGCACATATTTGTGAGTGTTATTTGTTACTATTTGTTACTGTCATATCCTGGAATAATATGTAGTTATCATTCAATGTTTATTAAATATCTTATTAAGTTATAATTTAACCTAAAAATTTAATTATCTTTTGATTTATATTAGTAATACTTTTACCATTAAAAACGTTCTACAAAAATGTTATACTTTTTTGTATTAATGCTTTATTTTCGAGTTTAGATTATGGTCTGAAATTATTTCTCCGCAGTTCTTCCCTGGAAAGTCCGATAGTAGGTTTTGTAGCGCCATCGATTATTTTGGTAGCAGTCTGACGGAAAAACATTGGAAAACGGTAATTTTATACCAATGCCTATAAATAGGAAAAACAATATGTCATTAAACAACAATGGCAGTAAACGCCCATACTCTCAGTGAACGCCAATACTCTGTGATATTATTTTGTTTTAAAAAATTATGTTCCCATATCGGAGGAGTTTTATGCATAATATAATTACACTAAATCAACGATCAACATTCAAACAGTGATGAAAAGTTTATATTTCGTAATTTTAATGATCATCTTTTCTACTACAGCTGGTAAGAATAACCACTCTAGCCTTATGTAATATATGATAACTACAATATATTATCATCACATATTGCTTTAGATTGATTTTTGTTCTACCCTGCATTATGCATTTGTTTTTGGATATGTCTTAACTCCTCCACTAATCTTCTTCAAGTGGTTTTATCCAGTGGTACTCAGAACTTGTGTATACCTACAAGCCGAAAGCTAAAAGAAATGTTAAAAGATCCAGAAAGAGGTGGAGTAAAAGACAAGACAAGAGTC